TACTGTGTCCTTTTCTGTGCAGAAACTTCTTAATCTGATGTAATCCCCACTTGTCTATTTTTTTGATTATTGCCTGTGCTTTCACGGCTTTATTTAAAAAGTTTTTCTGTCTCATAAACACACACAACTATAATTTGTCAATTTATAATGAAAAAAGTTCTTACTATGGTTCATAAAGTTCCACACCATTTGACTCCTTGTTTACTTTCTAATTTTACCTCTGGTACTCTTCCTCTCAAGCTTTCTACTCCAGCCAAGTCAGACTTCTTGTTGTTATTTGAACATAATCCTACTTCAATCTCTCTCTTTTTAAAAAAGAATTATTGGGACCAGCAGTTGGTGTAATGGCTATGTTGCTGGACTCCCATGTGATTGACTGTGGTTTGGGTCCTTGAACTGGAGGCCTAAACTCACATCGGGTGCACGTGCGTGTGTGCCCAAGATCCCGAGAAGAGAATGGAGGAGAGGGGATTGCAGCATGGCCATCCCTTGGGGGTGATTTCTCACTTTCTGTCTCTCTGTCTTTCTCTGTCTTTGTGGCGAGTGCACCCACACTAGAACAAAAACCTCTCTGAAAAAAAGAAAGAAAGAAAGAAAAAGAGAGACTCATTTATTTCTTTTTATTTATTATTATTATTTTAAAATTTTGCCAGAGAGACACAGAGAAAGAGAGAGAGAGAAAAATCAAGCCACCAGGTGTAGTACTTGAACCCGTCACCACAATGCCACTGGCTGGCACCACCTACCTCAATATCTTATAGAGAATTTGTTTCTCTGCTTGAAATAATAATTTCTCTGCTATCTACATGGCTAATTCCTTCCTCTCCTTCAAGCTTTTGGTTAAATAATGCTTTCTCAGAGTAGCCTTCCCTGATCATCCTATTTAACATTATACTCCCCCCGCCCCCATTTTCTGTCCTCTTTCCCCTTTCTGCATAGCAAATTTCACTCTTTGACAGGCTATATATTTTACTTACTCTTTTTAGTTGTCTATTTCTCCTCTAATAGAATTGAAAACTCCATGTGGATAATGGTTTTTGATCCTCTTTGTCATAGCATATCTCTAGTGTCTTGACATAGTAGGTGCTTAATGAATGTTGGTTGAATAAAATAATTACTAGCATTCTATATGATGTTAGAATGTATGCCACTTATATAAATTTAAAGCTTTCAGCCTGTCCCTACTGTGTATAACCATCAAAAATTAAGGGGACAAAAAAATTAATCTGTTACAAAACTCCTGAGTTTTGTATTCATTTGGTTTTTAAATTTGATTATTTACTTTTTGAATATTTTACTGTCTTGTGAAATGCCTTAAGTATAGTAATAATAATTCACCTTGAATAATTGCTCATTTTCTGTATTCCACTCTAACTGCCCTCTCTCATCTAGCAGTAATCAAAATTCAGTATGAAATATCACAGATAAAGTGCTCTCATAAATCATCTACCAGTCACCCATGTTGAGAATATGGGGTTGTAATATGAATCAAAACTCTAGTTTAGCTCTGCCAGGTTATTTGAGGAATAAAGAGTAAGAGACACCACTGGGAAAGTATTTTCTCAGTGTGCATTGGAGGAATGGCAGCAAAAAATAAAAACAAATTTATTTTAAAATTTTAATCTTTATAAACAAAAATTACAGATCTTTTATTTTAACCAATAGCTTTACATTCTTATGTTTGTTTCTTCCCTTTGCCCCTGCCACCCACCATCTACCACCCACTACCCCCTACTCCCTTCCCTTGTGGCCTCCAGTATTTATACTTACTCTCTCCACTATCATATCTTTGAATCTTTCATTTTCTGCCGTAGAACGCAGACATTTGGAACATATTGGGTGGGGATATACAGTGAGTATCTTTCAAATTCTGGCTCACTTTGCTTAACATTAAGTTTTCTATATTCATTCATTTTAAATCAAATGATAGGGTCTCATTGTTTCTTATGGCTGAGTAATATTCCATAGTATATATGCCACAGTTTTTCAATCTGATCATTGGTTTTTAGACACTTAGGTTGACTCCATGTCTTAGCAACTGTGAATAGTGCTGCAGTAAACATGGATGTGCAAGTGCCTAAGAGTTTTCCTATCCTTTGGGTAAGCACTAAGGAGAAAATAAAATCTTTCCTAATTTATTTTTTATGTTTGGACAATGGTTTGCTTGGTCTCATGTACACTACTTTAGGCTCATTCTAGCCTCAAGACTTTCTTCAATGCAGCTTTCATCTCCTTGTTTCGTAAGCTATAAATCAAAGGGTTTAAGAATGGAGTTACCACAGAATAGAACAAAGTTGTAATCTTCTGAATTGTAGCTGGGTTATCAGCTGTGGGGCTCACATACATTACCAAGAGGGCCCCAAAGAATAAACACACCACTGTCAAATGTGATCCGCAGGTGGAAAAGGCCTTTCGCCGTCCAGCTGCTGAAGGGACCTTTAACACAGCTATCAATAAAAGTGTATAGGAGCCAAAGATGTACAAAAGAGTGAGGATGATAATGACAGAACTCAGGATATAGAAGATAATCTCTGTGATAGGAGCTGGGGCACAAGACAGAGCCATCAGTGGGTCCATGTCACATACAAAATGGTCGATGATGTTGGGCCCACAGAAAGGTAATTGACAGAGTTGCACAGTAGAGACAGAGTAACTAAGAAACCCAAACACCCAGCAAAGAGACATCAAGATATAGCAAAGTTGTTGGGTCATGATAGTGGGGTAGTGCAATGGGCGGCAGATTGCCAGGTACCGGTCATATGCCATGATGCAGAGGAAATATGCTTCAGTCGTACCTAGGGAAGTAAAAAAGTAGAACTGGAGGAGACAGCCAACAAAAGAGACAGTTTTCCTCTCTGAGAGGAAGTTGACTAGCATACTGGGCACAGTGGAGGAAATATACCAAATTTCAAGGAATGCAAAGTTCCCTAGGAGAATATACATTGGAGTGTGGAGCCGTTTGTCCAATGTCACAGCACAGACAATGGTCCCATTTCCCATTATGGTAAATATATAGGCTCCAAAGAACAATGAGAAGAGGAAACTTTGCATCTCCTGACAACCAGGGAAGCCGAGGAGAACAAACTCAATCACAGTGCTTTTCTCAGAACTGTTCACGAATCTCAGAGCTGCAGAGGAGACAGAAAACACCATTATACAAGTTGTTTTGCTTCCCGAAAAACTTAGAGGAAACCTATGCAAGGTTTATATCAATGTAGTGGCTATTTGTCCATTAGTTTGGAATAACCCATGTATTGATTCTTAGCTTTTATATAAAAGCTGCTAATGAACAATCTTAATGATTACAAATTTCAATAATAACAATAGAATATTTACATTACTTTAATTATATTACACTACTTCACATTACCGTTTTTAAAAAGAATTATTTTATTTAACTTTATTATTATTATTTTCCAGTTTGATCAGAGAGAGACAGCGAGAGAGAGAGGAAGTGAGAAAGCAAGCCACCAGACCCGTGGTGTGGTTGGCCATGTGAGAGTCCAGTGCCTTTAACCACCATGCCACTTGCTGGCCCCTACATTACTATTTTTTTAACCAATGGGTTAGAATTTCAAATATCCTCTCTTTCCTTTGAAATTTTGAAAGCTCATAGAGAATTACTCTGTATGAACAGTAGCAAAGTAGTTATTTGTTTGCATGTGTTTCCCACTCAGTTTTTAAAATTTTTTAAAAAACTATTTACTTTTAAATTTTAATTTGACCAGAGAAGGAGAGAGAGAGAGAGAGAGAGA